CCTTTACCTTTATCCAATTACTAAAGAAGAATTAGAACCGTGATATCACAAATTTAGTTATCGCCCATCACTTGCTCAGAGTTTGCACTGGGTAAAATTCTGTCTATGAAGACTCGGACTATTAAAGCCTTGTTGATTCCTTAGAATGCCATTTCCACTTTATGCCGTACAGACTCTGTTCCCCTTTGGGTGATAGTTCTCTTGTACTGACTAGAGAACTGAGGGAAGTCCATTAAACTCTCAGCTTTCATAAAAGAATCAACTATTCTATCCCCACCACATATCTAAAAGTAACCTGTGTAGGACCTTTTCCAGCTTTTCAGAAAACAGGCAGCTCATTTTGAGATGTTTGCCTACCAGAGTAACGGAATAATAAAGTTGGAAGGGACCTTGCAGGTCTTCTAGTCCAGCCCCCTGCTCAAGCAGGAGACCCTGTACCATTCCGGACAAATTTCTTCTTAGAAATCTCAACTGATGGAGCACCCACAACTTCTGAAAGTAAGCCATTCCACTGCTTAACAGAATAATAGTTACTCTACTATACATTATAAAGCCAACTGGGTGACTTTGGGCCAATTCGTCCTTATCAGCCCGCTCCACCTCACAGGGTGGTGTTTGTGGGAAAAATAGGAGGAGGAAGAATTGTTAAGTGTGTTCACTTCCTTGAGTTATTTACTTAAATAATAAAGGCAGGATATAAATAAACTGAAAACAGAACAAGAATGGGGAGACACTTGGACTTCCAGTTTTGCACCATAGCGCATGGCCGAGGGATTGCAGAGCTCCGCAACCCATGGCTAGTTTTGCCCTGCCAGGGGACCTTAAATGGGTCTAAAGTCGCCCCAGAGAGGCAACAAAGAAAGAGGCGCCCCGATGATCGCGGAACGACAGCAGTCCCGCTCAATCTGGGGGGAAACCCGACAAGAAAGGCTGGCCACACCTCAGTGACCAGCCCAAGCTACTTGCAGCCGAAGTCCAAAGGCACTAACCAGAACAACGGTGAACAGCGTGCTTGAAACTGGGTGAGGAATTCGATCTTCTCCTATTTTGTATCTGATTTCCTGGAAAATATTCCCAAGAAGCAAAAAATCCTCCCAAAGTTAGAAGGGAGGGGACTACACCCCCACCCTCCCATAGACGGAAGTGGCAAATTAAACTCTTGCAGGGAACAAAAATATATTGAAATGAGGTTAAAAACACTATAGTCTGGACAAATTTGCAAACTAAGAAAACTTAAAATTCCATATCTGGAAAAGTATTGATGAAATTATAAATAATAATAATAACACTTTGCTTTAAAAGCTGGAAAATGAATAGCTATTGACACCTAGTGGAGGATTAGAGAAAACTATAGCTGCATTGATTCAGAATTTGGCAAGACACCCAGAAATAGCAAAAAACAGCTGGGAACAAAGCATTGGGCTATCTACTACTGAGTGAAATTATATATGTTTAGAAACTGCTGACCTGGGATTCTGCATTTTTAAGTTTAAGAACTTTTTGCAGAGAAAGAAAAACCTTGACCTTTGGTTAATCTTCTAAAGAGGAAGTTACTGGAAAGCTTTCAGATGGTTAAACACTTTGGACTGAAATCTTGGCTAGCTGATAATCATAAGACCCTTGTAAAGAAGAACTGTTACAAAATATTGTTTTCAGTGGTACTTTGATAATTGGAAATGTATTGGATTATAAAGTCCATATATAGAGATAAGAACTACACAAGATTTGGTTGTTTGGATTTTAAGATGGGCTGGTTTGATAAAGCTAATTAAAGAGACTATGGTACCGGTGAAAAACTACTTAGAGGAGGGAGACAAAATGGATGTTGTATATTTATCTTAAAATGACAGAACACCACACCTAACACCTGCTGAAGACCCCAGCATGGAACATCAAAGATCTGCAGGAACACTGACTCAAGACAAAGCAAATACATTCCAGGACAAAATATATGCAATGCTGCGACAGATTCAAATGACAATTGTCTTAAATCATGTTGAGATTAAAAGCAACTTCGATGACATAAATGAACATATCTCTAACCTAAACTCACAATTAAACAACGCTCAAAAAATGACGATAAAGTGAACAAATAAATCAGACAATAGAATACAAATCAGAGGGAAATGACTTAAATATGGTGTTGACGCTGCAACAATTCTGGCTGAAGCCATTTCTGCTTCATTTTCAGT